GCTCGACCGCCTTTGTCACAGAGTTGTCCATCGCTACCAAGACTACTTCCCTGAAGGCCAGCACCAGCACAGTTACAGTCACATCCGTGGTGAAGACATCGACGATGGCTCAGGCAGGCTCTACCTACTACACGACAATCGTTTCAACGGAGAAGATTGGCAAGACCACCACGCTGAAGGCCTCCACCAACACAGTCTACTCCACCGACCTCGTCACCAAGACTGTCCTTTCAACAGTCACTGAGCCAGCGGTCACAGTCAGCTCTCTCAAGACCGCTTCAAAGACTTCGACTATCCTCGCAGCACAGGAAACCATCGTCGTAACCCAGTCGAGCGACGTGACTTCCAAGACAACGATTACGCTGCCTGTCTCTACGAGCACCAAGTTTGAGACGGTGACTCTAGGTGGCGGAGTAAAGACGGAGACGGTTACTGGGGCCCCCAAAACCAAGACGGTAGTTGCGAAGAGTACTGTGACGGTTGTCAGTCTGGTGACGAAGACGTCGAAGGGTGCGGCGGCTTGCACGGCATCGTAGATGATGTCAGAGACGTGCGTTTCAATTCTTGTACATATGTAGTGTGTAATGCTTAATGAAGAGACGCTTCAGTTTGAATGTGCTTCCACCTGAGATGTGTCGTGCTGAGTAATCGGAGCTGCGTGGGCAGTTCTTGTGGTGGAGACGAATGAGGCTAGCGCAAGCGAGGGGTCCCAGGAGCTTCAGCCCACCAAGCCTCGTGCAGCCCACGTTAGAGGCGCGTCATGGCACCAAAAGTCATCGGAGCCGTCTCCTGCTCCGGCGCGCGGGATGGCGGGGGCCAGCTCAACAGCTACCGTTTTTACGCTCGTGCCCCCCGATTGCGCATCGTCTCCCCATATCATCCGACGCCTTTCCTGACGACTACACCGCTTACTGAACAAGCCCGCGAGCCATTGGCAGACTCTCCAGCGGGGGTCCGTTACTACACTATCTTGGTAAGCCGCCGCACCCCCGACGTACGTCCAAAAGCAACCTGGGCGGGTGGAGAAGCAAATATCGTGTACAAAAGTGGGATTGGCCGCTGGGCATGGCCATTGAGCTGTTTTCTAGTGTTCTAGCCTCTTCGTCATACAGAGACTAACACCCTACGTCAAGGTCCCCACCTGTCGTCCTGAACCCTCGATTTCAGCGACACCACCGCCGCTCTCGCGATAACACCAATTCTACCTAAACCACCCTCACAACCGCAATCATGGTTCTACTCGGCGCAAGGAAACCGCCCTCCCGCAGGGGTATGCTCCGACCTCGCTATCGTACACAAGGACAGATGGGATAACACCGTGCTAGGCTCCATGGCGGACATGCCCAAGGATCTGAAGGAGCAGATCGACAGGCTCGAGGAGATGTTCGTGGTGAACACAGACAAGCTCAAGGCTATCTCGAACCACTTCGTCAAGGAGCTTGAGAAGGGCTTGTCGGAGGAGGGCGGAAGCATTGTGAGTCGCAATTTGCTTTGCGCTCTTCAGGATAGAGCTGACTGTGATAGCCCATGATTCCCACCTGGTGCATGGCCTTCCCCGACGGTAACGAGACCGGCAGCTACCTCGCGCTCGACATGGGTGGCACCAACCTGCGTGTCTGCGAGGTCACCCTGACAGAGGAGAAGGGCGAGTTCGAGATCATACAATCCAAGTACCGCATGCCCGAGGAGCTCAAGACGGGAACCGCCGAAGAGCTTTGGGGCTACGTTGCCGACTGTCTCCAGCAGTTCATCGAATACCACCACGAGGGCGAGCAGCTCAACCACCTGCCTCTCGGCTTCACCTTCTCATACCCCGTCTCGCAAGACGCCATCGACCACGGAGTTCTTCAGCGATGGACAAAGGGCTTCGACGTCGCCGGCATGGAGGGCGTGGATGTTGTTCCAGGCTTCAAGGCGGCTCTTGAGGAGCGCGGTGTACCCATCAAGCTTGCGGCTCTGGTCAACGACACGACCGGTACCATGATTGCCTCCGCGTATACCAACACCAAGATCAAGATCGGTTGCATCTTCGGCACCGGCTGCAACGCCGCCTACATGGAGGATTGCGGCTCCATCCCCAAGTTGAAGCATATGAAGCTCGACCCCAGCCTGCCAATGGCCATCAACTGCGAATGGGGCGCATTCGACAACGAACACCAGATCCTCCCAAGAACAAAGTACGATGTCATCGTTGACAAGGAATCACCACGACCCGGTCAGCAATCTTTCGAGAAGATGGTCGCCGGTCTCTACCTCGGCGAGATCTTCCGTCTCGTCCTCCAGGATCTGCACAAGGGTAGCGAATGCCACATGTTTGAGGGTCAGAACGCCAGCAAGCTCGACAAGCCTTACTCTCTCGACGCCGGATTCCTGTCTCAGATCGAGGAGGACCGCTTCGAGAACTTGCAAGACACAGGGGATCTCTTCCAAGAGAAACTCGGCATCACCTGCACGAAGCCCGAACTCGAGCTCATCCGCCGTCTTGCCGAACTCATTGGTACACGTGCTGCTCGTCTCACCGCATGTGGTGTAGGTGCCATCTGCAAGCACAAGAAGTGGGATGAAGTGCACGTCGGTGCCGATGGCTCCGTCTTCACAAAGTACCCCCACTTCAAGATCCGCCAAGCCCAGGCGCTCAAGGAGATCATGGACTGGCCCGCCAAGTACGGCAAGGGCAAGAACGACCCTGTCGAGGTGCTTCCCGCTGAGGACGGCTCTGGTGTAGGTGCTGCTCTGATTGCTGCGCTTACCGTTAAGCGTGCGCAGCAGGGTCAGTTGGCTGGTATCCGGGATCCGGACACGCTTCTGGCTATGGCTCCTAAGGATGCGAAGAAGGCCTGATAATGGATGTCTTATTCTGACAAATGAATGAATGATAGAATGTATATACGAAATGTGTCACATCTACCAAAGATTTGGTCTTTGCAGAGTGAAATTGGTAAACGTTATGAGCGTATCTTGAGGCAGATGATGCACAGAAGGCCAGAGAACTGATAAGTACACACAGCAACGTCATTTAAACACATCACATACCCTCAAGCATACTGCTCCACCTGCTTCTCACTCCACTCCCAAAACGCACTCGCCGTTTTCTTCCCCGTCTCGGACCAATAGTCCTTCCTCAGCGTCCCAACCCTTCCAAACGGCATAATCCACTCACCCGTCTTGAGCTTCGCAGCCTCAGGTGCGAGGCCAGCAAACAATTCCGTATACGCGCCATTGACAGTCGGATACAACATGAAATTGGCGAAGAAATGATGCACAGCGTTCATGTTGCGTCCGAGCTCCGTTTTAAGGTTCCCCGGGTTGAGCGCCTGCAGTAGTTTTCGTTAGTCGATCGACGCAAAGGAGATCCTCAAAGAGGAGCGTAAAGAAAGGGGGGGAGGAACAGGAAAATTGATGGAACATACCACACTAACAACCCCCTCTTCCCCATACTTCCTCTGAAACTCCAAGGCGTGAAACACATTCCCACCTTTACTCATCCCATACTTTGTCCAATTATTCACATTCTTGGTATACTCCAGATTACTCATATCCACGCCGCCAGTTGGCGCGCTCATCTGCGAGGCGATTGAACTCACCCAAATCACCCTAACACTGCCTTTTGCTTCTTTCTTCGCGGTTTCCTGCAGTACTGGCGTGAGTAGCTTGGTGAAGAGGAAGGGCGCAACGCAATTCGTGCCGAGTTGCAGCTCGTAACCTTGTTTTGTCGTGCTTCCTACCGGGGGGACCATGACGCCTGCGTTGTTGAACAAAACATCCAGGCGGGATTCCTTTGCTAGGAATGACTCGGCGGAGGCTCTGATGCCGGAGAGGTCGTCGAGGTCGAGATGCAGGTAGTGCAGTGTGCCTTTGGAATCGGGACATGTTTCTTTGATGTAGGATATCGCTGCGTGCGCTTTTTCGGCTGATCGCGCGGCGATATACACGGTAGCGTGGTGGGTGTAGAGGAGGCGCGAGAGCTCTTTTCCTATTCCTGCGGAGGCGCCAGTCACGATGTAGACTTTTCCGCTGAGGTTGGGGAGGTCGGTCTCGGTGAAGGAGGGGGCGGGTGGGAAGAACTGGCTGAATCGCTGGCCCATTTTGGAAGGGCGTGGTGGTTGTGGTAAGGGTCAAGTATATAATCTTGATTCCTTAATGTGACAGCGCGCAATGGTTGATAGACGTTCAGTAATCGCAAGAGGGCAAAAGACGTATATATACTCCGTTCCATCTTGAAAGCAAGTTCCCTCCATCCCGTTCAACTGGTACTTCGAACGGCCCGTTGTTCAAGACTCGGCTTCACCACGGCATAACTATTGTACCAGCCATCCAGTCTGTAAGCCTATGAGAGGCCACGAACCCTGAATTAAAGTTGCGCTATCACGATATACATTGCATACGTCGTAGTCCCCCCCAAGCACCGTGTTTGGTACGTCCCGTGGTTGTGTTTCGGAGTTAGGACGATGTGCGCGGCGGAGTTAATGACGTGGTAATCGGGCCGTATGGTTCCAGGGTTGATGTGTTGGAGTGGGAGTGCGGAGTGGTGTTGTCGTTGACGACATGAGTTCTATCAATCAGGACTTATGTTGTGCTACGGCTCTTCTCGTCAAGTCCACAGCTGGGCAATGTACGAGGTTTGTACATGTCTTGCACCTGTTCGTACAAGATGTCACTTATTTTCATGCGAAGTACCTAGGTACCTGGATAATTGAGATTCTCACATGAAGTTGCAGACGTCCACGGATAGGAAAAAACGCAGAACTGGCAAGGGCTAGGCGAGAAAGAGAAGCCTTATTACTTTGGACTACGCTACCTAGATAACAGCTTGACATGTGCCCAAAGATCGCCGCCGTCTTCATCAAGTCGTACGCCTTCCTCCAATACCTTCAGCACCCCCGTTCGCCTGATCAGCGCCTCATCGACGTCCGAAGTCGGTTTTGGATCGCCAGCGACGCCCGTGACCCGGAGTCAGGTCTAAATACGGCAGCAAGCCCAGCAATCCTACGCATGTCAGCTCAATGCTCTCGAACATCTCTCTGGGCTAGGGAGTCGATATATACTTACACCAAGCTGAGCAGGTTCCTGCCGGAAGTTAGCATACAGTCATTCCTATCTCAGAATCGAATCGACGTACCCATCCCTCACCACAGTTGGTAGGCGGCCCGGCCTCGCATCTACGATCGCAAACCCTGGGTGGTGGGGTAGCAAGAGCAGCACGCGCTGATGGCGGCGGTTGCGTAGGACGAGTGTAGTGTTGCGGCTTCGCAGCTGCAAGGGCGGCGAGTAGAGTGATGGCAACGAAAGTCTTCATGTTGACGATTTTGATCAGGTATGTGATATGTGTGACAGTGTGAGAGTGGAAGATGAGGATGAGGACTGAAAGCAAGGGGACACATGTAAGGATATATACATACTCGCTACCAAAAAGGCGCCCAACGCCACCACAAACGGGATTACTCGAAAGAGGATGGCATGAGAAGGCACGCTCTAGACTTGCAAGAACACACCTGTTTGTGCGACTTCTCAGCTTATGGCTGACGTCCACTACAAACATCGCTACGAATCTAACTCGAAAACGGAAAATGCGACCAACAAACGAAACGATGTACTCAGCGAGAGCTTGGCCAATGACACAACGCGTAGCCACCACTGGGTTAGTAAGAGCTCAGATAAAGGTCAGATCTCGGGACAGCATGGCATAGTAGTGTGGAAAGTGGTCAGGCGGATACAGCGACAATGTGACCATCTACAATCAGCGTATGAAAATCGAGGATATGATGGCTCAAGGTGTGAGAAGGCAGCAGTTGGAAGCCAGAAGTCATGCCTGCCAAGGCTCAGGTAAAGTATTGATTGGAAGACAATATTTGTCGTGTGACATCACATCTACTCCGCCTTCCATGCGTTCCAAAATCTCATCAAATGATAGTCCAGATCCCACTAATCTCCATCCATATGTTCTCCAAGCAGTACGGCAGAACCATCTCAACAATCCGCCTGAGCTAAGACCAGGCCCAAATCTGGGTCAAAAGCGTACTCTATTCCCTGGTGCAGCAGGACCAGCATTCCTACATCACGTTAGCTCACATACTAGCCTCACCAATCGAAGAGCATATATGTAGCAGGTACTTACACCAGACTTGACAGCCACCTGTTCCACATTAGCACAATACTCATATCAAATGTGGCAAGTTGATAACATACCCCACCTGGGCAGTCTGGCTCTTCAAAGAGACAGATCTTCGTGCAAATCTGAGCAGGTACGACGGGAGATGCCGCTGCGAAAGCAGCAAGAACGGCGATGAGGACGAAAGACTTCATTTTGGTGATGATGTTGGAAGCTTGTTGATCTGTACGAGAGATGGAAGGGATGTGTAATTGCTGTAAAGAATGCAGCTGAACACGGGCGTACACGAGGGTAATATATACACCGTAACCCACTCAAACACCCACCAAAAGCTTCACCGGGGAACACGGTCCACGAAGATCCTCAGCCGTCGCCGTCGCATATACGCCGAAAGACAGCTTCACTACTACGGCTTACATGCGAACTCAATCCCACACATACCAAATCTATACATTTGGCGCGAGTACAAACGCCACAATGCTTCTCCCTCCACGTGCTAAGCAAATTGACGGGGCTGATCTACCAAAAACAGCAAATGAGCATGATGACGTTGAGGGAGAAGCGGGTGAAACGGCTGCGATGGCGGTGGTGGTCAAAGCGATAGGCTTTTCCAAGCCATCGAGATGATGTTGGGTGGCAGGAGGAAATGAAGTACAAACAGCCTTGGCGCAATATACTGCTTACCCGGTTTCGGGGACATGGGTTCCCCGCATTTTTTGGTTTGCATGCGTAGGGCTTGCTGGGGTAAAAATAGATGTGTCTGGGTTGGAGGTGTGAAGGAATGAGTGGTTGTTTGTAGAGGAAGTGTCATAGATACGGACGTGGAGAATTTGGGAGAGTATTGCGAAGTCCTCTGCGTTGATTGTTCGTACGGCAGAGATCGGCCCGTCGAGGTTCGCGATGACGCTTTGGTGACAGTTTCGTGTGCTGGCCACTGGAGAGAACTCCGGGCGCGGAGAGGAGATGAGCGTAAGCACCGACTTGGCATTTCGTATTTCGTATCAATCTATCACCCGAGACTGATACTACAATATCATATCAGCGCATTCCCGTCTTCTCATTTTCATGGCACCTCTCTCCGATGCCAAGTGCTACGAGAAACGCCTCTCAGCTAAAAGATGGCAACGGCATTTGGCGGACTCGCAACACCGCCCGGTACCTATGCGACGATCAGCTCATGTCTTACTATCAGCAACTCGGCGAGACATTACCTTCAACGGCACACTACTAACAAAGCAAGTACTCCGGCCCAACTCTTTACTCTTCTCACATAGCCTCTCCAAATCCCACATCTCACCTATCATGACACCCCATCCACCTAAAAGCCATTGATGTACTAAGCCACCGCCCTGCATCTCGTTTTCCCAGGTCTCGCCCGCGTTGATACCACCTGGGGCGCTGTGTGGGCCTACAAGCGGAGACATTTCGAATGACGGCGCGTCGGATGCTGCGGAATCGTTAGAAGGGTACTTTGAGTTGTGGTTGGAGGTGTTTGAGAAGAAGCCAAGGAGACGTTGGATCATGAGAAGATCAGATGAGGTAAGACGAGCGGATGCTTACCAACAGCAACGAACCCGTTCTCCCAAATCCATTGTAGCGTGTTCTTATCCGACTTTACGCCCAAGAACGTCGGTGGCTTGTCTTTTATCGCCCGTCTTTCTTCCTCGCCTAGCTTGGCGTAATCACGCGTGAATCCTGTTCGTAAGAGTAGTAGATCGCCTTCTCGCGTCTTGATACCCGTTTCTTGTAACATGTCTTTTAGTTCATCGGCCGTGATGCTGTTGGCTTCGAGCGCGTACACTTCTTTCTTGCCTTTCTTTTCTAGATACCGCGGGTAATCTAGGATAATACCCCGAGCGGTGATGCCGCCAGAATTGGCGACACGGTTAATGCCGATGACTTCCGAGGACTCAAGATCTTGCTGTGAGCGCCCACCATAGTACTTCTTTGCACTCTGGTAACCGTAGTGGCGGAAGCCGTCCCACTGGCTACTTCCCTGTGTGTTAAAATCCAGATGGTCGTCGTTGACGGTTCTCTTGGCGCCATCTGGATGTTCTTTGTTCTTCATCTTCCAGGAGAAAGATGGGCGGTTAAAGGATGGATGGGATGGTAGGTTAAGATACCAGTCAAGTGAGACCCGGTCACCGGTTTGTATCTCCTGGGCCGCTGCTTTGACGGCTGATGGTGTAATCATGTTTAGAGCACCGAGCTCGTCGTTTGGGCCGTACAGACCCCATGCGTTTCCGGGTGGACCATTTTTGTCGAGTGGGAGATCCTGGAATGGAGGACGCGATGGTGCCATGGCAGTGTCAAGTATATATGGAACGGTCCAGAAAGTGACAACTTCGAGGGCTTGCTGATGAGTTCACTCTAGAGAAACCACGATGTAGAAATACTTGTCGGTCTTTTGAACACCATCTGGATACACTGCTGAAGCTATGTGACGTATGGTGGGGTAAAGGGCGGGGTAACTTCCGCTCGGTAACTGACGAGGTGGAAGTGACGACCGCGACTCGGACAACGGAAAGAGCATTCTTGCCAATACGTTGAAGCGCGAGCTTGATTGCTGTCTTTAGTCAGGAGTTCACTCTCCTCGATTCACCTCGTTAGACGAAAACTCGTGTAGGCGCTGCGTACGTGCTTTGGTATTGCAATACCTACTGTGCTGCAGCAATTGATTCAGAAGTCGGGTCCCATCCCTACGCCACTTCCTCTTGAGCCTGTGTTCTTCAAATGCGCGCCACTGCCTTTGAATAGGCTTTGCCAAATGAAGGCTTCACTTAACAATAGTTCAATGTCCTTTTCGGTCCACTGACGCGTTGGCAATGATTGCAGAAACATCATGACCTCTTGAAAGTCCATCTTTCGTAGCTGATCGGACCACTTTACAAGGAACGCAGCGCATACGTAGAGGTGGAATGACGAAAACCCATCCTCTTCGGCCTAGACAATGTTAGTGATGCACTTAAGAGTAAGGCTACGTAGCTTACCAGGTATGTATCCCACATCCGTATCGTATTCTTTACAGATATCTCGCGCATCAGAAGACAGTTCATCCATCGGAAGCTGAACTGTATAAACTCTACACCCTCATTTTGGAGATGCTTCGCCAGTTGATCATCGATGCGCGTTGTGAGATCTCTAAGACTAGCCACTTGTCTTTGGATCCCTGGTTGATGCGCAATGTAGTTGTCTTGAATCCCATCAAGGAGTTTGGTAAGGCACCAAAAGGAGTCCGCCTCGACGGCGTCCAAAACTTGCTTTGGTAACTGTCCAGGATCCATGCCAAATTCAATATCCGGATCTGAAATATAGGCGCCCAAGAAGACCTGCCAAAATGGGGTCACCAAGTCATTGATGCCCTGGACATATCCTGACGCAGGGTGCCGTATCGCCCACACGTATAGTATTCGTTCGAGAGACCGTTGCGTCGCTTCGTAGCTGTAGAGCTCGAGATGGGGGTTCGTCCGAGGCACGTCAATGCTGATCTGATGCCATATAGCTTCGTCCAAGCCACGTCCTCGTCCACGGTTTGTTGAAGGATAGCCAGCGCCACCTGCCATTCCAGATGCTACGGCGCTAGCACTACCAGATGTACCTCGTTCAAAGGCCTGTCGCACTCCCTCCAGATATTCTTTCCGTTTGCGCTCGAGTGTCGCGACCCTCCGCTCGCTGCTAGTTGGCAGGTAGCCCAACAAGATTTGCCATGTCATTGCGCGTACTTCAGACGGGACTCCTGACCAGGCTGAGTCGCGAAGGTCTGATAGCGATATGGTGCTCGCCTGCAGTATCCTCTTGAACTTGTTGATCCTTGTTGTGCGCGCGGAGTGCTCTTCGACCTGCTTCGCTGAGGCGTTAGGGGGTAGACTAGGATGCGAAATGAGATGCAGAGAGTTTGCGGGATCTCGAAGAATTTCCTGGTACTGCGGCCGTAAGATCTTCCCTTCAATCTTCTTTGCGGTCGGGTAGTTGGGTATGCCTCGCTCCTCTGCAATATCACCACTGTCTATACCACGCCACGCCGTTGAGCCCAGACTTTCCCTGCTGACGTGCCCGGCGGTTTCCTTCGTCTTGGATGGCTGTTTCCGCCGGCCCTTCCTCCGCATGTTTGCGATGCTCGGGAGCCCAAACTCGTCTTCGTCATCCTCAAACATGTTGTCGGCATCGTCTTCGTCCCCCTCGTTCCAGTCTTGATGTGTGTCATTGAGGAAGTAGCTGTAAGTGGCTCGCGCAGGACGGGGCGATATGGTCTTGCTAGACCGGCTCGGTGCAGCGCTTGACTCGCGACTGTGGGTTGCCGATGGCGGGGTTCGAGGTCGTGAGTTGGATCCGGAAACGCTCCTGTGACTATCAGCTACAGGCCATTGATAGCATACAAAGCAACGTACAAAGAGCTGAAGTTGAGTATGTCGGCATGGGAATAGGATGCGCCGATGACCTTCTTGTTCGGCGGCGGCGAGGAAGCGGAATTGGACGCCGTTCGCCAGAAAGGAGAGCCAGAGCTGCGCATGGAATATCAGCAATCAAAACGGGTATGCGACTGCAGTGTGCAACGTACGAGGATCGGTCTGTATGCAGGGAAGCGATATGTTAGCTACCCCGGATACTATGACGCTCTCTGTGACTTGGATGGGCACACACCGACCTGGACCATTTCCTGGTAACTTATTAGCAAACACACAGATTGCGCGTACAACTGAGTGGACAAACCTGCTGCTGTTTCTTGGACGCCATGTTGGGATATGTGAACGCTTGTTCCGTGCCTCGAGGCGGCCCCGCTGCGAACCTGAGCTCCGAATCGCTCGACCCGGAAAGTACGAAGGAGCCTGTGGGTTTGGTGCCGTAATGAAGAACTCTGGATATCCCCAAGATAACAGCCTGTTCTTGAATCACCGCACCATCAATAGTACAGCTATTCTATACAACATGGCTGTACTGGGTATGTCGTAGGGCTCGTGCATGTATCCGTCGCGCCTGCCACGCCAAGCCCGATGCTAGCGCGCCTGCCCATTGCTCTGCTCTCATCTCCTCACTCCGGCGACAGACTCTTCCTTCTATCACCTCCCTTCCTTTTAAATAACCCGACAGTCCCGCCCCACTAATCGCGACTCTACTTTCGCGCGCTTGCTCCTCCCTCGTTTCCGATATACCTTTTAGAAAGCTCTTCTTCAAGACTACACCATGGCCGATGAGA